GCTGAGGCCGAGGCTGAAGGCAGACTGAGGCTGAGGCTGAAGCAGACGGAGGCTGAGGCTGAGGCAGGCTGAGGCTGAGGCTGAGGCAGGCTGATGCTGAGGCAGGCTGAGGCTGAGGCTGAGGCTGATGCAGGCGGAAGAGGAGGCTCAGACTGAGACCGACAAAACGCCGAGCCGAGCTGAAGGCAAGCGCTATGTCTAGGCTGAGGCAGGCTGCGGCTGAGGCTGAGGCAGGCTGAGGCTGAGGCTGAGGCTGAGGCAGGCTGAGGCTGAGGCAGGCTGAGGCTGAGGCAGGCTGAGGCTGAGGCCGAGGCTGCAGGCAGACTGAGGCTGAGGCTGAAGCAGGCTGAGGCTGAGGCTGAGGCAGGCTGAGGCTGAGGCAGGCTGAGGCTGAGGCTGAGCCCAGGCTAAGGCTGAGTCTGAGGCTCACTGCAGCTGAGGCAGAGCCGGCAGAGCCGAGGCTGCAGGGCAGACTGAGGCTGAGGCTGAAGCAGGCTGATGCTGAGGCAGGCTGAGGCTGAGGCTGAGGCTGATGCAGGCTGAGGCTGAGGCAGGCTGAGGCTGAGGCCGAGGCTGAAGGCAGACTGAGGCTGAGGCTGAAGCAGGCTGAGGCTGAGGCTGAGGCTGAGGCTGAGGCAGGCTGATGCTGAGGCAGGCTGAGGCTGAGGCTGAGGCTGATGCAGGCTGAGTCTGAGGCAGGCTGAGGCTGAGGCCGAGGCTGAAGGCAGACTGATGCTGAGGCTGAAGCAGGCTGAGGCTGAGGCTGAGGCAGGCTGAGGCTGAGGCTGAGGCAGGCTGAAGCTGAGGCTGAGGCTGATGCTGAGGCAGGCTGAGGCTGAGGCTGAGGCTAATGCAGGCCACTGCGACTGTCATCGCGAATGCGACTACGACTGCGAGAACAGCAGAACTCTACAACTGGATTCTCATCTGAATCTTAAGGGGGATGCTTCCAGATATGCTCCTACACATCGCTGTTAGGTTGCTTTGCCAGGATAATTTTTTGGAACGCCTCCAGCCTCGGGGCCGACGGCTTCCGTGCGCTGGTCGCCTCCTGCGGCCACGGGAGCGCGAGCTGCTTTGCCAGGCGGCGCGCCCTCCGGGAAGGGCCTCGCCCTCGAGGGGTCGGGGCGTTTTTTTACCTAACAGCGAAGACTGATAGGTTTCTAGTGGTGTAAAAAGAGAGCAGCACATGACTCCACAGGGGGGTCTGGGCAGCCGTTGGGGAGGTGTTGGGGGGCCGTTGGGGGGCCGTTGGGGATTGCCGGGAACCGCGTTTTTCGCAAACAGTCACACACTTCGCTCTTCGACCTCCCAACTCCATTCTTCGCCCTTCCCCAGAACTCCATTCCCTGGCCACATTTTGAATGCCCGGAGCCAACTGTAGGCCACTTCGTGCTCTTCGAGTGCCCAGAACTCCACTCCTGGGCCACATTTTGAATGCCCGGAGCCAACTGTAGGCCACTTCGTGCTCTTCGAGTTCCCAGAACTCCATTCCCGGGCCACATTTTGAATGCCCGGAGCCAACTGTAGGCCAATTCGTGGTCTTCGAGTCCCCAGAACTCCATTCCCGGGCCACATTTTGAATGCCCGGAGCCAACTGTAGGCCACTTCGTGCTCTTGGACTTCCCAGAACTCCATTCCTGGGTATGATTTTGAATGCCCGGAGCAAACTGTAGGCCACTTCGTGTTCTTCGAGTTCCCAGAATTCCATTCCCTGGCCACATTTTGAATGCTGAGGCAGGCTGATGCTGAGGCTGAGGCAGGCTGAGGCAGGCTGAGGCTGAGGCCGAGGCTGAAGGCAGACTGAGGCTGAGGCTGAAGCAGGCTGAGGCTGAGGCTGAGGCTGAGGCAGGCTGAGGCTGAGGCTGAGGCAGGCTGATGCTGAGGCAGGCTGAGGCAGAGGCTGAGGCTGATGCAGGCTGAGGCTGAAGGCAGGCTGAGGCTGAGGCCGAGGCTGAAGGCAGACTGAGGCTGAGGCTGAAGCAGGCTGAGGCTGAGGCTGAGGCAGGCTGAGGCTGAGGCTGAGGCAGCCTGATGCTGAGCCAGGCTGAGGCTGAGGCTGAGGCTCATGCAGGCTGAGGCTGAGGCCGAGGCCGAGGCCGAGGCTGAAGGCAGACTGATGCTGAGGCTGAAGCAGGCTGAGGCTGAGGCTGAGGCAGGCTGAGGCTGAGGCTGAGGCAGGATGATGCTGAGGCAGGCTGAGGCTGAGGCTGAGGCTGATGCAGGCTGAGGCAGAGGCAGGCTGAGGCTGAGGCCGAGGCTGAAGGCAGGCTGAGGCTGAGGCTGAAGCAGGCTGAGGCTGAGGCTGAGGCAGGCTGAGGCTGAGGCTGAGGCAGGCTGATGCTGAGGCAGGCTGAGGCCGAGGCTGAGGCTGAGGCTGAGGCTGAGGCTGAAGCAGCCTGAGGCTGAGGCCGAGGCTGAAGGCAGACTGAGGCTGAGGCTGAAGCAGGCTGAAGCTGAGGCTGAGGCAGGCTGAGGCTGAGGCTGAGGCAGGCTGATGCTGAGCCAGGCTGAGGCTGAGGCTGAGGCTGAAGCAGGCTGAGGCTGAGGCTGAGACTGCGGCCGAGGCCGAGGCCGAGGCTGAAGGCAGACTGATGCTGAGGCTGAAGCAGGCTGAGGCTGAGGCTGAGGCAGGCTGAGGCTGAGGCTGAGGCAGGCTGAGGCTGAGGCTGAGGCTGAGGCTGAGCAGGCTGAGGCTGAGGCAGGCTGAGGCTGAGGCCGAGGCTGAAGGCAGACTGAGGCTGAGGCTGAAGCAGACTGAGGCTGAGGCTGAGGCAGGCTGAGGCTGAGGCTGAGGCTGATGCTGAGGCAGGCTGAGGCTGAGGCTGAGGCTGATGCAGGCTGAGGCTGAGGAAGGCTGAGGCTGAGGCCGAGGCTGAAGGCAGACTGAGGCTGAGGCTGATGCAGGCTGAGGCTGAGGCTGAGGCAGGCTGAGGCTGAAGGCTGAGGCAGGCTGATGCTGAGCCAGGCTGAGGCTGAGGCTGAGGCTCATGCAGGCTGAGGCTGAGGCCTGAGGCTGAGGCAGGCTGAAGGCAGACTGATGCTGAGGCTGAAGCAGGCTGAGGCTGAGGCTGAGGCAGGCTGAGGCTGAGGCTGAGGCTGAGGCTGAGGCAGGCTGAGGCCGAGGCTGAGGCTGAGGCTGAGGCTGAGGCTGAGGCCGAGGCTGAGGCAGACTGAGGCTGAGGCTGAGGCAGGCTGAGCTGAGGCTGAGGCAGGCTGAGGCTGAGGCTGAGGCAGGCTGATGCTGAGGCAGGCTGAGGCTGAGGCTGAGGCTGATGCAGGCTGAGGCTGAGGCAGGCTGAGGCAGGCCGAGGCTGAAGGCAGACTGAGGCTGAGGCTGAGGCTGAGGCAGGCTGAGGCTGAGGCTGAGGCAGGCTGAATGCAGGCCACTGCGACTGTCATCGCGAATGCGACTACGACTGCGAGAACAGCAGAACTCTACAACTGGATTCTCATCTGAATCTCAAGGGGGATGCTTCCAGATATGCTCCTACACATCGCTGTTAGGTTGCTTTGCCGGGATAATTTTTGGGAACGCGGAGCGGATGGCGGAAAATGACCTAAAAAGACGCCAGAAAGCCCTAAGAGAGTCTGAAAATGATTGAAAAAGGACGTCTGAGGGTGTGCAAAAGTTGGATTATGTAATCGCTTCGCTCATTCCGCCGGCCCTCGAGCACTCTATGCGGCCTCTTTGAAGCCTCTCGGGGGCCTCTTTGGAGCCTCCTGGGGGCCTCTTGGGGGCCTCCTGGGGGTCTCTTGGGGATCCTTGGCGGCGTCTTGGGGCCCCCTTGGGCCTCTTGGGGGCTCTTGGGGGCCTCTCAGGGCGGGGTAGTCGAGTGCACCCCCCTCGGAGGCCACGATCCTCCTGAGGGGTATCGAAAAAAGGCCCTCAAAACCATCTCTGAGTAGACCTGCTCGGGCTGCGGTCGGGATATTTTTCGCTGGGGGACCCCCAGGGGCCGCCCCGCGCGCGCGAACTAGAAATATTGTTAACCAATTACCGGAGATCTTAGCACGCCTCTGGCCCGTTGGGCCAGCGAATTTTTGGTTAAGTTTGGAAGATTGCTTGATTGTTTTATTTTTCGTCCAAAATCCGCCTGTCAATCCTCATCCCCATCCCCATCCCCTTCGAGATCCCCACCAAATTGCCACTCCAGTTAGGGGATACCCCTCGAAACCCGAAGGGAGCGACCCATATCCCCATCCAGGGGGGCAGATCCGTCAGTGGGGCCCAGGCCACGCCGCTGGGGATGGGGATCGGTTAAAGGATACTCAAGGGCTCCCTCGAGGGCGCGAAGTTATTCGCGCTTCGCGGTCCTCGTTCCTTCTCCTCCTCCTCCTCGTCCTCCTATTCTCCCTTTGGGAGGGCGGCGCGAGAGCGCGAAGTTATTCGCGCTTCGCGCTTCGCGCAGCGCGAAGCGCGAAGTTGGGAGCCCTAGGATACTCAGAAGGGGCCTCGCCTTCGAGGGGTCGGGAAGCCGACATCTTGGAGCGGGCTGGTGGCCCAGCGCTGGTCCTGGCGAGCAGGAGCGGGTGAGTTCGAGAAGGTGTTCGGCATTTCTCGGCTTTCGCGGGGACGCTCACCCCCAGGAGCGTCAGAAAACGAATATACGGGGTGAAAAATTGCACCGCTGTGGACCCCGGTAGGGGTGCGGCGACTGATTATGATCGGATTTGCATCCCTTCCTCTTGACTGATGTTCTCGAGGTCCAACCAGCTCAGATCTCCCGGCCGCATCCAGAGCTGACGCCTCCTCCTCCTCGGCGGAGGCATTAGGTGCGCCCCTGGAGACTGCTCAGGAGGAAAAGAAGCACACAGACACAATGAATCCTCGATTCCCCAGAACATATGGGAAAATATGGGAAGTGGGGGGGAAGACAGAAACCCAGAGAACATGGGGAAATATGGGACCGCTTTTGTTTGTGTGTCTTTATTTGTGTGTCCTGGGGGGCCCTTCAACTGCGTTCTGGGGGGGCTTCGGAGGTCCTCGGAGCGGCCAGGTGGCGCGGCATCGCGGGCTGCTCCGCGAAGATGCTGTCGGGCCACGACTGCGCGGACCCCGAGCCGTCGCGGCCCTGGGACGGCGGGCTGCGGCACGCGAGCACGGCGGTCGCGAACGTCGAGAAGATGCGCTTCGTCGGCCTCACGGAGGCGTGGGACGAGGGTTTGGAGCCGTCCGGGGCCCGGAGGTGGCCCAGCACCTGGCCTCGGCCAGCAGAACTCCGGAGGGACAAACCTCACACGGACGGACACAACGCATCGTCCACTCCCAAGAAATAGTATGGGAAAGTATGGGGGGTGGGGGGGAAGACAAAAACTCCGAAAATATATGAGAACATGTGGAGAATCCTGTTACTTGCCGGTTCCGACGCCGTTTTTGGTACCGGTTCCGTCGCCGTTGTTTGACCGATCCCGGCTCAGGTTCCAATCCTGAAGCCCTTTTTGTTGCCGTTTCCGGTCGCCGTTTTTTTGCCGTTTCCATGTTCAAGGTACCTTTTTGTTGTTGGAAACGGTGAAAAAGCGGCCCTGCCGTTTCCGGGGCCCACGAAGGCCCAGCACCTGGCTTCGGCCAGCAGAAATCAGGAGGGAAAAGCAACACACACGGACACAATGAATCGTCGATTCCCAAGAGAAAATATGGGAAAGTATGGGGATTGGGGGGGAAGACAAAAGCCCAGAAAGTAAGGGAAAAAATGGGAGATCCTGTTATTTTTGTGCATTTCTTTGTGTGTGTCCCAGGGCCCCATTCAAGAGAGGGCGGGCAGATGGACCCCAGGAGGGGTCCAGGGACGGACTTTGAGCGGCCTCGGCCTCGTTCCCCCTCCCGACCGACGTTCCAGGGCGCCCCAAATACAGTCGGGGCCTTGAAGAAGGAATCCTTTTCGTTGGAGAGGGGCTCGGCGTTCCTTGATTGTTCTGCAGTTTGCCTTCAGTTTTCCTGAGGTTTTTACCGAACAGCGAAGACTGATAGGTTTCTAGTGGGGTCAAAAGAGAGCATCATGACTCCTCAGGGGGGTCGGGGCGGGACCGGGGCGGCTGCCGCCGAAGCCCAAATCGCCTGGGACATCCTCGCAAAATCGCTCTTGGCGCTCCCAGAACGCCATTCCCGGGCTACATTTTGAATGCCCGGAGCCAACTGTAGGCCACTTCGTGTTCTTCGACTTCCCGGAACTCCATTCCCGGGCCACATTTTGGATGCCCAGAGCCAACTGTAGGCCACTTCGTGCTCTTCGAGTTCCCAGAACTCCATTCCCGGGCTACATTTTGGATGCCCGGAGCCGAAAGTAGGCCACTTCGTGGTCTTCGAGTTCCCAGAGCTCCATTCCTGGGCATGATTTTGAATGCCCGAAGCCAACTGTAGGCCACTTCGTGTTCTTCGAGTTCCCAGAACTCCATTCCCGGGCCACATTTTGAATGCTGAGGCAGGCTGATGCTGAGGCTGAGGCAGGCTGAAGATGAGGCAGGCTGAGGCTGAGGCCGAGGCTGAAGGCAGACTGAGGCTGAGGCTGAAGCAGGCTGAGGCTGAGGCTGAGGCAGGCTGAGGCTGAGGCTGAGGCAGGCTGATGCTGAGGCTGAGGCTGAGGCTGGGCTGAGGCTGAGGCTGAGGCCGAGGCTGAAGGCAGACTGAGGCTGAGGCTGAAGCAGGCTGAGGCTGAGGCTGAGGCAGGCTGAGGCTGAGGCTGAGGCAGGCTGAGGCTGAGGCTGAGGCAGGCTGAGGCTGAGGCTGTGACTGCGACTGCCGTTGCCACTGCGACTGTCATCGCGAATGCGACTACGACTGCGAGAACAGCAGAATTCTACAACTGGATTCTCATCTGAATCTTAAGGGGAATGCTTCCAGATATGCTCCTACACATCGCTGTTAGGTTGCTTTGCCGGGATAATCCATGGGAAATCGAAGTTCAACGTATGGGAGAAAGGGGCCCCGTTCCTTATTTAGGGTTCCTTAGGTCACCGCCCCGACTGTAGTTCAGACCCCCAGACGCCTCCAAGTCGAGAGTGTGTGCCTGTTCCACCGCATGTTCGGGGGCAGGATCAGCCCGGCCGAGTTCCAGAATTTCCACTCGAGCCACCCCGGCAAAAGCGAGGACTACGACGAGGCCGAGCTGCACGGCTTCGTCGACGAGGCCGACGAGCTGGTCTCTCAGTGTCTGCTGATCACGCGATCGACGATCACGGAGCGCAGTGATCGGAGGATCGCGCGATCCACGATGGCACGATCGCTTCGGCCTGATCGCGCGACCGCCTGAGCTTGAACGCGTGATCGATCCGCGATCGGCGAGGCAGCCATCGTGATCGGAGCTGCGATCGGATCGCGCGATCGGGTGACGTGATCGACGGAGTGGTCCGCCAGACCCTAAGCAAGGGCTCCCTCGAGGGCGCGAAGTTATTCGCGCTTCGCGCTTCGCGGTCCTCGTTCCTTCTCCCCCTCCTCCTCGTCCTCCTATTCTCCCTTTGGGAGGGCGGCGCGAGAGCGCGAAGTTATTCGCGCTTCGCGCTTCGCGCAGCGCGAAGCGCGAAGTTGGGAGCCCTAGCTAAGGCGGGTCTATGCCGCGGCAGAGCGGCGTTTCGCGGCGCTCCGGGTCGAGTATGCCGGAGGCGGGTCCGCATGCACGGACGACTTAGAGATCTCGCACGCGCACGCGCAGGGCAGCGAGGACAGAAGACCCCCCAACAAGATAGCACGCCCAGGAGGGAGACGTGGGCACGGACGCAACTGAGCGCCGATGTCCAAGAGGCTGCGGAGCATGTTGGGAACACAGAGAGGGAAGACCCCCACCAAGAGACACCCATGTTGGGAGCCGTCAGGGGTCTGAGGTGGCCCAGTACAGTGAGCGGCTTGAATAAGGAACACTTACTTTTCAAAAGGGGCTCGGTCGTCCCTTGGGTTTAACATGCGTTGTTTACAGATTCTTATGCGTTATTTGTTATTCATCGTTCCTTATGCGTTATTCCTTGGGATAAAACAGGGGCTTCGTTCCTTATTTATCGTTCCTTAGGTCAGGCCGATGACTGTACAAGCTCTGGCCAGCAGGAAGGGCGGGCAGATTCGAGGCTCTGGGCTCGGGAAGGCTGTGGCCTTTTTGTTCGGCCCCCGGGAAGCGTTTTCTCGGGCCCAGGACGTTTCGAAACGCACTGGGGTGAACAAGCGCACCGGATGGACCTCGGCAGGGCCCGGGGACGGACTTCAAGCGGACTTGGCACCATCCCCCCCTCTTGACAGATTTCCTGTTAGCGCATTCATTCGGGTCTTCGGCGAGGGATTGAACATTGAAAAATTGAGAGCCGAGACCGTCGGATCGAAGAATTGAAAAATCAAAGATTGAACATTCAAATTCTTAACCCTGGCGGTGCGGATCGAACATCTAAAAAATGAAAGTTTGCAATCCTAGAGGCGCGGGCTGAAAAATTGAAATATTGAAGCAGAGTTGTGGTTTTTCAATTTCCTCAATTGTTCAACCCGGCGGCATTCAGGATTGAAATATTTGAATGTAAATCTTGGGGGACACCGGATTGAAAAATTTGCAGATTGAAAAAGAGCTGTGTTCTTTCAATTTCTCAAACTTCGAATCCGGCGAGTGCGGGATCGAAATTTGGGAGGGGGGCGAGGAGGGCGGAAAGGGCAGTGGGCAGAGGGACGAGGTCATCATTGGGGGCGATGCTCGAGGCCGCCCCGATCGAAGTGTCCGCACACAGTGGCAGGGCGAAGACGTTAACGTGAAGAACTCCTTCGAGAACGGTAGTGGGAGGACCGACAACGGAGCGGAGCGGGTCGGGCGGGCGCGGCGTTGAAGCGCAGAGCTCCCTGATTATAATGGGCGGGCCCGAGCCGCCTGGCGAGCCAAGACGGCCAAGATTCTTCCCAGGCGGCGCCAGCTGTCGGTCTCCCCCCCCGAGGGGTCCCCGGTGGGGTGACCTCCGCGGCCCGGTGGAGGCGGTCGGTGGTCGCAGATGTTTCGGCAATGGCCTGGGACTGCAAGGCGGTCCTGAGATAGCCCAAGACTCTGCACGAACGAAATGGGCACGGAAAGACTGGGTACAATGCCCAACAGCGAATCCTGTTCATTTTGAGCAGGACTCGCTGTCCACGCCGCCGCGGCCTGTGTCCATTCGAGACAGAAGGCCGCCTGCCCAACAGCGGCCGCTGGTGGTTTGGGACAACATTTGTTGTTGGGCATTGTGCCCATTCTTTCCGTACCCATGTCGGGCGTCCAAAACGACGAGCCAAGATGCTCCCCAGACGGCCCTGACTGCCAGACTCTCCGCTCTCCCGCGGGTGGATGTATTTGTAGTGAAATGGATCACTTCGCTTGGGAGGGGGCGGGGTCCGCGGCCTGGCGAACTGCCGATGGCCCAAGACGATTCGAAGATTGCCCAAGACGATATAAGAAGACGAGTCAAGATGCGTCCAAGGCGGCTTCAGCTGCGGGCATCAAGGTGTTTGGCTCGATGGAATCTTCCTCAGAGAAGCACAGGGTGATGGCGATGATGATGATGATGACGATGATGGAGACGATGCTGGTGATGATGCTGCTGATGATGATGGTCATGATCATGATCGTGATCATGATGATGATGGTGGTGATGATGATGATGATAATGATGATGATGATGATGATGATGATGATGATGATGATGTTGATGTTGATGGTGATGGTGATGGTGATGATGATGATGATGATGATGATGATGATGATGATGATGATGATGATGATGATGATGATGATGATGATGATGATGATGATGATGATGGTGATGGTGATGGTGATGGTGATGTGCATCTTTTACCGCATACGATTTGGCTGAGGCTTCGCTGCGCTGCCGGTCCAGCGCCCACGGCCCCACTCCCAGTGCAATATGGCGACGCAGGCAGCAGCAACCCTGGGCGGGGCCACCGGGGCCAACTTGGATGTCATTCGCGTGATGGCCCCGCAGAACTTCGGCGCGGCCGAGGCCGCTGTGGATCTGCAGGAGGACTCCGCCAGCACCCAGCAAGCCCTTGCTGGATTGATGCAGGTTCTGCCGGACGACGTGCTGCTCAGGTCGGAGGCCCCCCCGAGACGTGGAGCAGCTGCAGAGGCACTGTCTGATGCGGCGAAGGTATCGCACCAGCTGCTGCTGGACGCCCCCGCGCCTCGAGTCTTGGTGCGCAGGGCCATTCGCAAGCAAGGCCAGGCAGCAGCCGTCGAATCGGGTTGTTTCTTTCCAGATGACGATGACGTGGAGGCCATTCTTCCTGGTGCCTTGAGGCTCGCATCGGCCAGGTGCGGAACTATGGCGCGGGTGCGGCGGGTGTTGCGTCGCAGCACTTCCGCTTATGTCCGGGCGCGCGTACGATACGATTACTTGGTCAGCATCACCGAGGAGCTGCCAATTCGCCGGGCGGACAGAGGGCGGTGGATGCAAGTCTCGTGGACGTTGCAGCGCTGGGTGTGAGCAAAGAAGTCCTCAAGGCAGTTGAAGACGCTTGGACCACCTGTGTTCTCTTGCCGCAGTTCGACCGCGCGGCAGACGCAACGGCGCTGTTCGACTGGGCCGGCGTGCGCTTGGACGCCGAGCTCAAGTTGTGCATGCGTGTGACATCATTCCGCTCCTGCCGCTTCCGATGTATATTCAGTGCGCGGGGACTTCGAGGATTATATTTGACATTGCCGCTCCCGTGTCGCACGGGAGAGCGAGCCAAAGCGTGCGTCGACTTCCTTTTACCATTGTGGAGACGCGGGCGTCGGACGCGCGTTGGCCTGCCTCACGATGGACCCCTGGCCGTCGTGGCGGCGGATTGCCCCGTGAAGTTCGGGTGAGCGATTCTTGCCTCTGGCGATGGTATGGCCAGAATTCATGCTGATCGATGCCGCGCAACGCACCTGGAATTGGCTTCAGCTGGCGGTCGGCGGAGCTTTCGCGCCAGTCGTGCTCGTTGCGAGTGATCCGCCTCGCAGGCTGTGGCGGCTGCAACAGCGTGCCTTGTTATGCGCCCGGACTTCCATCATATCATCATGGGCTAGAGCGTCGCGTCGTCATGGCGACTTGCCCGGAGCAGGGCATCGAGCAAGGGGCCTTGCAAGTGCTTGCGTACGTGCCGCACACTCTCCGGCATGGAGTCCACCCACGCCTGCTGCTTCCCTGTCTGCAGGAAATGCTGGCGCCAACTCTGCAGCTTCGCCCACTGCTGCTTCTGGAACGCCGGCAGGCCAGCCCCGAGCCTGGAACGCATGGCCACTGCGTCCCTGATCGATGGCTCCTGCTGGGTGCCTGGCTCGGGCAGGGCGAAGCAGGCCGACTGCGCCCAGGCGACCGTTGCCTCGTGCGCGCCTGTGCGCAAAGCGGCCCCCGGCGCCGCCGCCTCGCGGTCTGCTGGCGCGGCAGTTGGTGCGGCGGCGGCACGCTCGGGCGTCTTCCCAACCGCCGCGGGGCGGGCCCCGGCCGCTAGCGGGGGCCCCCGGCGGCTGGGCACCCCTAGTACTCGCGCTTGGGCGGCACGAGCCCGCGGCTGCGGGAGCGGGAGCGCCCGCGCTCTGCCCGCCCGCCTTCAAGCCGGTCCTCCGCGCCGCTGTCGCGCGACCAGGGGTGCCCGCCTTTGGCGCCGCCCTTGCCGCCGGCACGCTCCTCCAGGGCACGCTTGTCCCTGGTCTTGATCAGCTCCAGGCCTAGCGCCTAGCGGCTTGATGTGGTTCGCTAAGCAGCCCTCCTGTGTCTTGGCACAAAACGGACATTCGTGGTGGAAGACGCACGTCTTGCCGCGCTCGTGCATGTCGCACTTGCCCGAGAAGTGCCTGAAGCAGAAGTGGACCGCGTCTGGCTTCCGCTGGGTCCTGGTGCTCGCGCCCGGGGCGTTGAGCTTGACCTCCTTCGCTTGCTTCTCTGCCTGCGTGACCAGGTCCTCTTTGTCACCCGACATAGCTGGTGCGAAGGCCGTTGGGTCGGCTTTGCGCTTGGCTGCAGCCCAAGCGGCGCTCCTGACCAGCTGGTCGTAGGCAAGGGCGTTCCTCTCGGCCAGCGGAGCCGGGCTGGCAGTGTCCGCCGCCAGCCGCGCGACTTTGTCGATGTGATTCAACACAGACGCGACTGCGATGCGGCCGTGCAGCAAGCCAGCCCAAGAGTAGCGAATGAAGGCCACGACCCATTCTGCGAAGGCCTGGCCCTTTGTCGAGGACCTGGACTGTTCGAGTCCCTCGATGGGCCCCTCATGCGGAAGGGGCTTGCCGAGCTTCGCAGCGGCGTCGCATAACTTCAGCTGCTTGGTCGTGGGGTAGGCGCGCAGCGCGGGCTCGCCGAGGCCTGCCGCTTCGATCAGATGGCCAAGGTCTGTATCTTCCTCCAGGACCGACATCGCGGACCCGCTGCTGAGCGCCAAGGCCGCCTGCAATAGGCGCAACTGGTTCTGGACACCCGCTGGGGCTGAAGCGTCCCCTGGCCGCTCGGGTGCCGTAGGCGCCGAAACGGGGCAGATCTCCCTCACCACCTTCATCACCGCTGCCCTGACGCCTGGAGGGCAATGCGCCTCTGGATTCTGGAGGTCGCGCCAACACGTGGACAACTCAATGACCAGGTCTGGGATGGACGCGGTCTCTGCAAGTGCCCTCAGCTCCTCTGCCGTGGACAACCTCGCACGCAAGAGGATGTCTTTCAATTCGCTGGCGAGGGAGTCCGCTCCAAATTTGTTCGTCACCGTATCCGTGATCAGGGCATTATCCCTGGGGTCATCGCCGCCGGCGGCACGGCGACCGCTGCACCGCGAGCGGCGCTGCTAAGCGCTGCTTCGACGCCGGACTGGCGGGGCGGCGGCTCTGCCATGTGGTACAGCCCGCACTGCGACACTTCAGGGCACGGGCGGGGGAAGAAGAAGAATTCTTCACGCTTCGCGTATCCCCACCAGCCCATCTCAAAACAGCAACTCTAGCGAAGCATGCCGACAGTCGTGTTTTTCAGGCGTGTTGCCGCCTGCCCCCGCATATCTCCCCTGTTCCTCCTTCCTCCCGCCTCCTTGTACATCCTCCTTGTGGTGGGAGCGGGAGAAGGACGAGGCGGAGGAGGAGGGAGAGAAAGCGCTCCTCGTGGTTTGAGTCGTTCGGGCTTCTCGTCCTGGTGTGAGTCGTTCGGGCCCTTCTTCCTGGTGTGAGTCGTTCGGGCTCTTCGTGGTGTGAGTCGTTCGGGCTCTTCGTCCTGGTGTGAGTCGTTCGGGCTTCTCGTGGTGTGAGTTGTTCGGGCCCCTCGTCCTGGTGTGAGTCGTTCGGGCCCCTCCTCCTGCCCGTCCAGAAACGACGCCCAGGGCAGTAGAGGGTCGTCCTGATGGGTTTTTCGGCGTCTTGGGTGCCTCGGGGGGGCCTCTTTGGGCCGTTTGGGATCCTCTTGGGGGCCTCCTGGGGGCCTCTTGGGGCCATCTTGGGGCCTCTTGGTGCCTCCTGGGCGCTTCTTGGGGCCATCTGGGAGGAAATCGAGCCCCTCGTCCTGGTGTGAGTCGTTCGGGCCCCTCCTCCTGCCCGTCCAGAAACGACGCCCAGGCGAGTAGAGGGTCGTCCTGATGGGCTTTTCGGCGTCTTGGGTGCCTCGGGGGGGCCTCTTTGGGCCGTTTGGGATCCTCTTGGGGGCCTCCTGGGGGCCTCTTGGGGCCATCTTGGGGCCTCTTGGTGCCTCCTGGGCGCTTCTTGGGGCCATCTGGGAGGAAATCGATCAAAGAAGAGGGGAGCTTTAATTAGCGCTGCCCCCTCAGAAGGCCAAAATGGGGCCAAAACCTCAGTAAAATCAATGATTCTGGCTTGAAAGAAGAGGGGAGCTTTAATTAGCGCTGCCCCCTCAGAAGGCCAAAATGGGGCCAAAACCGTAGTAAAATCTATGATTTTTGCTTCAAAGAAGAGGAGAGCACTTTTTCTCCCCCCCCCCGTCGGGGCCAGAATCCTCGTGAGGGGTGTCGTTTTTTTGCCCTCCCAGGAGTCGAAAATGACCCCCCTGACGACCCGCGGGGCGCCCTCTCCAGGCCCAGGGGGAGGGGGTAGGGGGAGGGGTAAACCCTCCCTTCCCCGAAGGGGAAGAAGGGGGGTTGAGGACAGAGAGAGCTCTCTAAACCACTCACGCCCAAAGGGCTGGTGGGACTAAGCGGCGGAAGTTTGCCGCTCGATCGCGCCGCGCCCGAGCAGACAGCTGCGCGGCGCGCGGGTGCAGAGGGGAGGAGGGAGCCAACTGGAGAGTCAGAGAGACACCAGCAGCTGGAAGAGGAAACTCTCTAGACCACCGACGCCAAGAGGGCTGGTGGGATTGGGGGGCTGTGGTCCTTGCCCCCCTGGGGGAACCCATCGATTTCGACACCCCTCTCGAGGGATCGTCGATGCGATGGGTTTTGTCGTGAGTTGTTGCTGCAAGACAACACAGCTCCCAGAGATGCCAGAACACAAACTATAGTACCAATTCCAACCGGGGCACCCATGTTAAGACTCCCACAATCGGAGCCGAAGCCGAACCGGACCGGAGGCACTTCGGAACCTCACCGGACCGCACCGAGCCAGAACTTCTCTGCATGGCCCCGAGCGCTGTGGGCATCGCAGGATGCCTGTCGTGGCAAGCTGCTCCGCAGCTGCCCGTGGCGCGCTGTCCCCGTGGCGACGGCGCGGGCCCCCCCTCCTTCGCGGGAAGGCCACGGCCGATGCCGCGGGCCCCAGCCCTGCCTCGGCCCCCGACCTGGCGATGCTGGGGCACTCTGGGGGCAACGTCGGTGCAGACCCCAAGCCCCAGCAGGAAGGGAGGAGGAGGAGGAGAAGGGAGGAGGAGGAGGAGAAGGGAGGAGGAGGAGGAGGAGGAGGAGGAAGAGGAGGAGGAGGAGGAGGAGGAGGAGGAGGAGGAGGGGAGGAGGAGGAGGAGGAGGAGGAGGAGGAGGAGGAGGAGGAGGAGGGGGAGGAGGAGGAGGAGGAGCCGGCCCGCGGAGAGGGCGCGGCTGGACCTCCGGTGGGGGCCTCCCTGAAGGGTTCAGATCGAGCGCGAGGGGCGCGCTGCGTTGGCGAAAAGCGGCGCGCCGAAGAATTGGGGTTTTGTCGCAGGCCTAGAGATTGACAGCGGTGTGCCTCCACCGAGGGAAGAAGATCCCGATCTCGGCGATGGTGGTAATATTCTGGCTTCCAAGGTGGCCGAAATATTACCACCAACACCGAAATCTAGGACCACCTTCCCCCTGTGGAGGCAACCCCCTGTCTTGGTGTTGGTGCCAATTTCCAGGCCTCCGATTTTGCCCTCTCTTGGCCTTGACGTGAGGCCCCTCCTTCTGCCTTCCCCCCTCTGTCAATCATAAAGCTGTGCGCGGCCCGCTCAGCTTCGACCGGAAGAGGTGCGCGCTCGGCCCGCGGATCAGAAAGGCGAATGCACCGAAAAGTGTGTACACCGATCACGCCAGATTGGCGTATGCACCCCACCCAGTAAGCCACGAGTGCCAGTAGACACCAGAAGTGGTGTACACCAGTCATTCGGGTGGGGTTCCGCCGCCGGGGACGAGGGCGGCTAGGGTCCGCGGCATCGGGTTCATTCCTGGTGGGCGAGTCGCAATGAGCTTGCATATGTGCGTTTGCGCGCGCGCAGCCCCGCGCATGGATTCACGCGGCGCGGGGAAGACGTTGAGCGTGCCAAATTCAATCGAAGCAGGAAGTGTGTATATGTAGAGTTGTTGTCCCCCGACAGAAGCCCCGATCCTCAACCTTCGATTCTTCGACTTTCGGTCCTCGATGCGTCAAACTTCGACCCTCAACCTTCGACCCTCAACCTTCGATCCTCGATTCCTCCCCCCCCCCCGAGAACTCTTCCCCATCTTCGCGCCTTCCTTTTCCCTTCCCCTCACCGGTGGGGAACCTTGTACGCTCGATCCTGTCGTCGTCGTCTTCGGCTTCATCGTCGTTGGCCTCGTCGTCGTCGTCTTCGTCGTCGTCGGCTTCATCGTCGTTGGCCTCGTCGTCGTCGTTTTCGTCGTCGTCGGCTTCATCGTCGTTGGCTTCGTCGTCGTCGTCGTCGTCGTCGGCTTCATCGTCGTTGGCCTCGTCGTCGTCGTTTTCGTCGTCGTCGGCTTCATCGTCGTTGGCTTCGTCGTCGTCGTCGTCGTCGTCGTCGTCGTCGTGTCGTTGGCCTCGTCGTCGCCGTCGTTGCCGTCGTCGTCGTTGTCGTCGTCGGCTTCATCGTCGTTGCCCTCGTCGTGGTCGTCGGCTTTGTCGTCGTCGACCCCTCCTCCCGAAGAGTCGTGCGTCTTGTGTTTCTGTTCTGTGTTGCCTCTCCAAGAGGAGGACCTCTCCTGCGCGGCGAGCGGCTGCGAGTGCGGCCTCCTCCCAGGGGGCCAGAACGATTCCGAGGCAAGCGACGACGAAGACGACGCCGAGGACGACGACTCCGCCGACAACGACGACGAGGAGGACGACGACGACGAAGGCGACGAGGCCGACGACGACGAGGAGGAGGAGGAGGAGGACAGCGACGACGGCGGCGGCGATGCCGACGACGACGCTAACGACGACACGACGAGGCCGCCGACGACGACGAGGCTGGCGACGACGCCGCCGCCGACGACGGCAGCGGCAGACGACGACGACGACGGCGAGGCCCAGCTGGATTGCGGGCGGTGCCCGCCCAAGCGGGCGGAGGGCGCGGCGGCCGCGGGCGCGGCCCCCGGGTGCCTCGCGGGCGGCAGGTCGCCGGGCCCCCGCCGCGGCGACGGCGGCGCCGGCGGCGGCGGCGGCGAGGCCAACGACGGCGACGATGACGACGGACAACGACGACGACGACGACGACGACGACGACGACGACGACGACGACGAAGCCAAGGACTACGACGATGACGACGACGACGACGACGACGACGACGACGACGACGACGACGAGGCCTGCGCGCTTGGGTTTGCCCCTCCCCTGCGCGGGTAGGAACGTGGACGGGGGGCGGTGAAAGGAGGCTGCAGCGGCGGCCGCAGCGGAGGCGGGCAGCACGGCGTCAACGTCAGGGGTTTTCGGGCGTCTCTTCTGTTCGTCGTCGTCGGCGTCATCGGCTCCGAGGGTCCGAGTTTTCGAGGTTCTCGGGCGTCTCCTTCGGTCCTCAGCGATTTTCCATCCTCGGTGTGCCTTCCAGCGGCCGCACCTCGCCGAGGGCGTTCCCGGGTGCCCGGCCCGCCCTGGACAGCCGCCCGAGTGCCGAGTTATGGCCCGAAAGCCAGGAGGCAATGTTAGGGGGGACATCGACCCCCAGTCGCCGTTCATCGCCGAAACAGGCCTGATGGCCCACCCCACCCGGGTTCAGGCGATTGCAAACATGGATCAAGGGGGCGTGGATTGGCGACGGGCCCGTTTCCATGCGAAGTCGCGGATTTCCGCCGCCGTGCGAGGCGGCACCGGCCGCATCTTGGGGAGTGCACTTCCCCCGATCCATGGATTTGGCGACCGCGCGCCATGTCCATGGATCGTTACTCCATGTTTGCGCGCCCCCCTCCCAGGAACGCGCGGTTTCACTATCGGGGCCCCCTGCCGATCCACCAGCGATGCATCG